GCATCTCGTCTCATAGTGGGGCTGGCCATGTGGTCCTCTCTGTGGACTGGCTGCTCGAAATTTTTTTTTTTTAAGACATGTTATTGAGGGCTTTTACAGATCTTGTAACAATCCATACATCAATTGTTTTTTTTTTAAGATAATACTTTAAAAATGAATAATATACCATATAATTTATTTACATGGCAGCATGATTTGAAAATTTTTATTTTAAGGGTTCTTACCCACTCTAAGCTGTTTTAGAGATTATATGCCAATTGTGTCTGTCTTGGTTTCAATATATGTATGTCCATCCAGTTAAGAACATTTCAGTGAAGGAAAGATTCTTTAATCATGGTAGAAGTAATTTAAACCTGTGTTCCTTTTAGAAATCATTTTTCTCCTCTCTGCATTATACTCAGTATCTTGTTTTATCAATTAAAGATTCAATGAGGTAGTTTGAATATTGTGGATGACTTCTGCGTTAAAAGGGGTGTGTGTGTGTGTGTGTGTGTGTGTGTGTGTATACACTTTTTCCCCCCTGATCTATATCTATGTTTACAAAGAAACTGAGCAAAGAGTTTTAAACTGTTTGTTTTATTTATTTTTTAGTTCATCAAGGAACACATTCCAAATGTTAGGATTTTTTTGTTTAGCATACCTTTATAATGTGTGGCTGTATTGTAAGAACAGGTATTGGGACAAAGATCTTTTTTTTTATTGTTAATTTTTATTTCCATAGTCGGGTTTTTCCCAGTCAAGTGTTTTCTTAGTGCTTTTCTGGATGCTTTGTCCCCATGTAAAAAATAGAAAACAAGTTCTCCATGTGGGTGAAAAAGCAAACCAGGAAAGCAAAACAATTTGAAATTAATACTCTTCAGTGTTTCGTTATTAAGTGGTTTTATGTAATCACAACAACCAGCTGCTCAGCGGTTTTGATTCATGGTGAGCTCAGATGTTTCAGAGTAAGGTTGTGCTTCCTATAGCTTTCGGTCACTCTGGTCTTTTAGAAATAGATCCATAGGCCTTTCTTCCAAGGTAGTTCTAGATGGTTTGAACTGTCAACCTTTATATTATAGGGACAGGTGGGTAAAAGAAAACATTCATTTAGGGAAAGCCAAATGATAGCAAATTTGGTGCATCTAAGGAAGGATTGGTCCTTGGGAATTATTAGACCATTGTAGATTAAATTTAATATTAAATGTTAAATTTTTGTTCTTTTTAAATTTTTAATTCCCAGTCCACATCAGCATCTGCATCACCATTTCAGTCTGCATGGTATAGTGAATCTGAGATTACTCAGGGAGCGCGTTCAAGATCGCAAAACCAGCAACGAGATCATGATTCTAAAAGACCTAAACTTTCTTGTACAAATTGTTCTTCTACCTCAGCTGGGAGAAACGTTGGAAGCGGTTTAAATGCAGTATCAGGTAAGAGACAATATCCATGAATTTTGGACTGAAGCCCTTACCTAATTGTGACATAATTTGTAAGTTTGAAATAATAAGTGGAAGGTTTGTAATAAGAGTGCATGTAAGACAAATGTAAAATCCAAAATCTAGTCGGTTCCCACTCATAGGGACCCTATGTACAACAGAGCAAAACTACCAGGTCCTGCGCTATCCTAACAATTGTTCTTGTATTTGAGGCCATTGTTCTAGCCACTGTGTCACTCCTTCCCTGTGAGCCCTTTTTCCACTGCCCCTCTACTTTACCCAGCATGGGCCCTTCTGCAGGGACTGGTCTCAAATCTTGACAATACATCCACACAAGACATTAGCAGAGTACAATTGATTAGAATAGTTTATGTGTATGATAATCAAGTTGTTATTTTAAAAAAACAAACAAAACCAAAATGTGTGTTCTGCAGGTTATCATAGAGGTTAGTTTTTAAATTGTTGCTAAGAAAACCAGATTTAACGTTTTAAATATATTGCTTAGGCGTATCTTTTTAAAATACTCAATATTAACCTGTTTCCCCGAAAATAAGACAGTGTCTTATTAACCTGTTTCCCCGAAAATAAGACAGTGTCTTATTAACCTGTTTCCCCGAAAATAAGACAGTATCTTACTAATTTTTGTTCCCAAAGATGCGCTAGGTTTTATTTTCAGGGGATATCTTATTTTTCCATGAAGAAGAATATGGTACACGTTTATTGTTGAACAAAAAAAGGAAATTTATTACCTGTATACAGTACGGTAGTAGTTGTCATCACAAACCAGCATAGCCAGATAAACTATGAATCCTACAGCATCAAGAATTTCTTGTTACTTCCATTATTTCCATGTACAACAATCTATGCTACATTTACTCATAATCTGTGGTACATTTACTCGCACTTCCTGTCTGCTCTGGCTGCGCTGCGACCAACAGTGAACTGACCAGCAGCGCCTGTCGCTAAGGTCTAGAGTCCAGAGTTACATTAGGTGGGGTCTGGGGTTATATTTCAGTGACAGCTAAACTGTAATTAAGTCTTACTTTCAGGGGATGTCTTACTTTTGGGGAAACACGGTGTATATATATGATACTTATTTTTGGAAAATTTGAACACTTCATTAATCTAACCATTTTACATCATATTTGCATTGTATGGTCAGATGTTATGGAGCATAGCTAATATATTGACTTCATGGATGGAGAAAGATTAGTACGAAATCATTTTATATAATTATTTCATTGGTGAATCATTTTGTGTGTTGAGTTTCCCGCCTAAATGAAACCATTTCTCTATTGGAATTTCCATATTAAATATTATACCCGTTGCATTTTTTGAGATTTGGTGTCATTAGAAATGTTGGGTACTTTCATTGAATTAAAACTTCAATTATTTTAAGATTCTTCCTGGAGACATAGTCAAGTTCCCAGATCTTCATCAATGGTGCTTGGATCATTTGGAACGGACTTAATGAGAGAGAGAAGAGATTTGGAGAGGCGATCAGATTCCTCCATTAACAATCTTATGGATTATAGTCACAGGAGTGGTGATTTCACAACCTCCCAGTGTATGTATGAGCTGTATTTTTATCCATAGCTTATGTAATTTTACGTTTCTTCGTGGATGTAAGGTTAAGTCAAAAAGTATTCCTACTGGCATTACAGTTTGTGCCTGCACTGGCTTATTCCAAGCAAAGCATGCTAAGAGTGTCTTTGCAGCCAGTGGATGGCTACAGACTAGTTCTCTCATGTTATCTTTCTGTGTCATTCTCACAATAGATCAAACTGTTTTCATAGTGCTACCGAGCATTTAATAGACTTAAGTATAGTACAATAACTTCTACATGTACTGCAAATCAAAAAAATTCATGCGACTCCCTCTATTGCAGTAGTTCGGAACCATACCTAAAATACCTTGAAGGGATGCCCATCTGTCTGCTAATACTTTTTATATATATACAAAATATATAACCAATCTAAAGTTAAATAGATAATGCATGAGTATCCAGATTCTGTCTGCAAACTTTTTCAGGGGTTTTTCTTTTTAAGAATGTATTTACGAATATTTCATTAAAATATATACATCAAGGTCAGCAGTTGAAGTCTCCAGCCACTCCTTGGGGAGAAAGCTGGGCTTTCTACTTCCGTCACGAGTTATAGTCTCAGAAATTCACCGAGGCAGTTCTGCCCAGTCCAGACTGATCTGAGTTGTAAACCACTTCATGGGAGTGAGAGAGAGAGAGGTATACAAAATAATCTTTGAAATAACAAACCCAAACCTGCTGCTATCAAGTTGATTCCTACTCACAGTGATCTTGTAAGTAGAATTGCCCCTGCCCCATAGGGTCTCCAAGCCTGTGTATCTTTGCAGAATGTGACTACCACATCTTTCTCATAGAGAGCTGCTAATGGATTTGAGGTATGACCTCTGCATGAGCAGGCTAGTACCCAGACCCATAGCAACCTTGAGGGTTTCTTAGACTGTAAATATTTAGGAGACCAACACCCTCATCGGATAAGTTTGAACAGTTGATGAGCAACTGATGAGGTTGAACCTCCAACCTTGCAGTTAACATTCCAATGTATACTCCATTGCACCACCAGACCCCTAATTCTTGAATATTTAATTAGAATTTGTTAATAACTAACTTTATGCTAAATAATAAATAAGGATTAAAGCACCATATATACTTGAGTGTAAGCCAACCCAAATATCAGCTGAGGCACCTAATTTACCACAAAACTGCATTAAAAATGTGTTGGAAAAACTCGGCTTGTACTCGAGTATATACGGTAATCACTTAAAGTCATACATCAGAACTCCCTTAGTACAATATAAATATACCTTTAATTCCATTGAATTGAAATAAGTGATACTGTTTGTATCATGGTCTGTAGGCGCAACCTTTTCCAAAAAAATTCCATGGAATAAGTAATTGTAAAGAAAAATGTTGAGTTCTATAAAAGTAGAAGACAGAACTGAGTTTAAATTGAAAGGAACTAAATAACTTTTCCTTTTCAAAGACTGATGTTTTTGAATAATCTAAGGTTATCTTATTCGAGATAGATGAGAACATCTATTGTTTGCTTAGGTTTGAGTAGAGGAGCTTGACTGCACAGTATCAGTAGCTTCTAGGTTCTTGTTGTAAGGGTACAGGATAGAGTGATTTAGGCCATATCACTACTCTTCATTGCTGCCTGGGTTTTATACTCTGTGAATGAGCCTAATTTACAAAGTAATACTGCCCTGTTTCTCGTTACATGTGAAAGGAGAACCATTAGTAGTGAAACTCTCACGCTGATAAAAAAAGCTCTTGGTCAGTATTGAATAGTATAGGTACACTTGATGAGTAGCCAGGATTAAGAACCACTGCTATCAACATGAAAGAAAAGACAAAGGGTCAGAGAAAATTTTACCTTTTAGCAAACTTGTCATCAAATTACAAGTTTAGGAAGAATATTTATATGAAATAGTTTTTCTAATTAGTGCTTCTTGTGAGAAAGATCTCTAAAACATTGTTCCTTACCCTAGAGTGTTATTATTCATTATAAGGGTCGTTTATATTGTGTTATTTGTCTCAGTCTGTATTTCTTGAGGCCTGGTGGCACAGGGGTTAAAAGCTGGCCTGATAACCCGAAGGCTAACTGTGAAAGCCATCAACTGCTGCACTGATGAAGGATGTAGCAGTTGGCTTCATAAAGATTTATAGCCATGGAAGCCCCGTGGCATGTATCTACTTGATCCTGTATGGTCATTGTGAATCAGAATCAGCTTGATAATTTGTTTGTTTCCTTGTTTTGTTGTTATTACACTTCTCACTAATCTAGGTATTCTTCCGTAGGGCTTTCTGATGAATAGATTCAAATGTTTTTGTCATGTTAGCACATTTATGTGTTTCCACTCAAACTCTGGTAAATTTATTTCTTTAGAATTTCTGGTGTTGACTTTTTACACACAATGCTTGATTTTAATGATAAGAACACAAAAGGAAATGGATGGTCTGTTCCTTTTTTACCCTATAACGGTAGATAAGCTGTGTAATTATAGCTGTGCTGACTTTGAATTCAATATTTCACTTTGGCAGTAATTGGTACTTAATAAATGTAAGTTTAATAATATGCATGATTTAATATAATTAGCTGTCTTTCCTTCCTTTCAAAAATAGATGTTCAAGACAGAGTTCCTTCATATTCACAAGGAGCAAGACCAAAAGAGAATTCAGTGAGCACTTTACAATTGAATACGTCATCCACAAACCATCATTTGCCTTCTGAGCATCAGTCTGTGCCATGTTCTAGGGATTCCAGCAGAAGCTCTTTCAGATCGCACTTTTCTCAAAGAGAATTGGAATCTCCTCGAAGCAGTACACAGTCTGCATTTTCCTATATTTCAAGTAGAGATGATACCCCAACCATAAGCAGTTCAGAAAGAGTTGCTTCATCTCAAAGATCATTTCAAGAACCTTCTGACAACGATGGAAGGCGTACAACTAGGAGATTGCTGTCACGTATAGCTTCTAGCATGTCATCTACTTTCTTTTCACGAAGATCTAGTCAAGATTCCTTGAACACAAGATCCGTGAATTCTGAAAATTCTTATATTTCTCCTCGAGTCTTACCTTCACAGACTCGTAGTAATACAGCATCAACTTCTGAAGTTTCAGATAATAGAGCATCAGAAACATCTCAGGGATTTAGATTTCTTAGACGGAGATGGGGTTTGTCATCTCTTGGCCAAAATCATAGTTCTGAGCCAGATTCTGAAAGTTTTAACCAAGAATCTGAAGGTAGACATACAGGACCGTGGTTATCATCCTCACTTAGAAATAGATGCACACCTTTGTTCTCTAGAAGGAGGAGAGAAGGTAGGGATGAGTCTTCAAGGCTATCTACCTCTGATATACCATCTAGATCTCATCACATTTTTAGAAGAGAAGCTAATGAAGTGGTTCATCTTGAAGCACAGAATGATTCGCTTGGGGCTACTGCCCACAGACCACAAGCATCTGCAACATCAGGCAGCGCTGCTACAGGGGCCTCTGCATCAGATTCAGCTCACAGTGTAAGAAATTCAGGAATAACTGGAATTCTTCCTGGTTCCTTATTCCGATTTGCTGTGCCCCCTGCACTTGGAAGTCACTTGACTGACAATGTCATGATCACTGTAGATATCATACCTTCAGGTTGGAATTCATCTGATGGGAAAAGTGATAAAACTAAAAGTGCACCTTCAAGAGATCCAGAAAAACTGCAGAAAATAAAAGAAAGGTAATTTGAATACCTGTCTTAATTCCACAAAGCGTGAGTAGATTGGATAGGAACTTTTAATATTTCTAAAATGCCTTTTCATATTATTGATACCTAAAATTATTGTCGTAAAATTTATTTCCAGTAAACTGTTAGCAAGGAGCCCTTGTAGGATGGGCAAAGCATTAGACTACTACCTAAAGAGTTGGCAGTTTGAGCCCACTAGCCAGTTTTGGGGAGAAAGGTAAAGCAATTTGCTTCTATAAATAAAAATACAAGAGCTTCAGAAACTACTGGATAGTTCTCCTTTGCCCTCTAGGTCTGCCGTAAGTCAGAACCAACTCACTGGCAGTTGGTTTTTAACACGCTAGATTCTCTCAGGTAAATGATGAGTAATATGAGTTAAGCATTGAGGTGTAGTGGTGGATGGCATCAGGAAACCAAAGTTTCCATACAGTTTGGAGTACATGTATGCACAAAGACAAAAGTCTTTATCTTCTGCCCTATACTTTGATAGACTACTGCTAAATGACATTGGTAAGAGGACAACGTAGATGGCCATGGGTAGTGAAGACAATGTGTCTTATCCTTTACTGAGATGATTGATTTACAAAGAAGTATTTCTTATAGAAACATCTTTTGTGCCAAGTGAAATCAGATGCAAAATTAATTTGATTTTGCAGTCCAAATGTACACTGAATATTCTTTATAGAGTAGGAATATTTTACTTTCACAAAGAACAGTTAAAATTCAGGATACAGAATCTTTTTATGTAAAATGAAATCTTCAGCGAATTGAAAAGTCCAAAGACCACTGGTAAGAGTGAAAGAAAAAAATAAAAGTGAAAAGTCAGAAGTTTTAGTCCAAACTTGACTATTAATAGTGTCATCTATAAGGCCTACCTACTTTTTCCATCTATTAAGTTTTTAATCTAAAAGTGCAGTGAGGTGGTACATGTGAAATATGGTAAAACTTATAAAAACTATGATGATGAGTGTTTTTTGTTTGTTTGTTTTTCCTCATAAAAGGTCACATGTAATAGAATTGTTTGGAAACACACTATTGGTATTTTAACAAGAAATGCATTGAGATCCAATTCTGGTAATCAGTGGGACTTTACATGTTTTCAGAGATGTTGCACATTGGTTCACTATACTCTTATTGTTCCTTATGTAGGACAAGTTAAGCCATGTGACTATTCTCTTCCTACATTTGCAGCTTGCTAGTATTTTTTCCTTCAAAAAAGAGATTTACTTTGACTTGGTTGTGTTAGCTTTAGTACCAGCTGATTCTGATACCTTTGATTGCAAGCATGTCTGCTGAGGTGAGGAGTCTAGTAATTATTAGATAGCTTGCCCTCAAGATTTGGCTAACTTGAGTGCAGTGGTATAGATAGAAGGCACAGCATTGATTTAGGTGGTCTCCAGTAAACCAAAACCAAACCCACTGCCATGTCAACTCAAGTTCCTAGCAACCCTCATGGACAGAGAACTGCCTCATTAGGTTTCTGAGGCTGTAAATCTATAGGGGAGTAAAGAAACATCCTTTTCCCACTGAGTGGCTAGTGGATTTGAACTGCTGACCCTGTCTGTGGCTAGCAACATGTAATCTAGTCCACTAAGCCTCCAGCAATCGTTTGTGATCTTCAGAGAAGCTAGTCTGGTAAGATACCTACGTGGTGGAATTGGTTGGTATTCAATCTTCATGGTGGTTGAACCCACACAGCAGCACTGTGGAAGAAAGGCCTGGAGATCTGCTTCAGAAAAAGAGGAAAAGGCCACGAAGGACTAGTTCTACTCTAATACCTGGATTTGCTATTCACTGGTTTTTAAAGCTCTCTGGTTTTTAAAAGCATTTTATGTTTATTATGGTAGAAGAGGGTCGAGCTCTGCTGGCATAATGGATTACATGTTAGACTGTTAAGCACGAGGTCAGCAGTTTGAATACACCAGCTACTATGGGAGAAAGACAGGACTTTTTTTTCCTGTGTGTAAAAAATTCACAATCTCAGAAACCCACAGGGGCAGTTCTACTTTGTCCTATAGTGTCATTAAGAGTCAGAAACCACACGATAGAAAAGTTTATGTTAGAAAAGTTGATGTGTTTGTGGCTCATGCATTAGGCATATAAGACACTCTCCAATTAATATCTGTGAAAAGATTGAATTTCTCAAGCAAAAAATGAAATCTAAATGCAAAAACGGTGCTTTATAAGCTTGCAGAATATACCTATGTTTCAGGCTATATCTGCATACCCTAGGACATGAAAGCCAGCTAACATTTGAGGTGTAGGGCAGTGGTTCTCAACCTGTGGGTCGAGACCCCTTTGACCCCCTGTGGGTTGAACAACCCTTTCACAGGGGTCGCCTGATTCATAACAGGAGCAAAATTACAGGTATGAATTAGCATCAAAAATAATTTTGTGGTTGGGGGTTCGCCACAAGAGGAGGAACTAATTGTATGAAAGGGTCATGGCATTAGGAAGGTTGAGAGCCACTGGTGTAAGGGGAATAGATGTTCGAGTCTCTTGCTGAATTCATTTAGCAACGTATTTAATCCAAGTTGTCCTTTCATTAACAGTACTGCATTTGGTATCATTAATTTACTGAATACCTATTTGAGGCCAGCAGTGAGCTGAGTCAATAGTGATTTCAGAGAAAAATTACTGCACTTCTTATAGATAGTGCCTGGATCCATTCCAAGTGTGTCCTTAAATAGAGTCTGTCTGTCAGCCAGAATAGGCGTATACAATTCTTACGTCATCTTACGTTAGGCCCACTGAGTCAGAATGGACTTGAAGGCAGTAAGTGGCTAGTGCAAGAAAGGTCAGCCTTGTCAGGGATTTTAAAGCTGTATAAACAGTAAGTGAAGGTAATTGTGATACATTTGTTATAAATAAGGGTTAATTCAGTAGTTTCAAAGTGATGGCACATTTATATAACATTAAAGGACAAGTAGGATTTGTCAGTAAATCAGACATCATAATCTACGGACTTACTATATATAACTTTCTGCATTTAAATAAAGCAGTGCATTTGGGTGTGATAAATAGGGTCCACTGACTAATGGGAAGGGTCCATCCTTTAAAAACAGACCTTTAAAAAATTTAGAATTCATTAATAGATTACTGAGACCCTGGAGAACAGAGAATTTTAAGATCTACGTTTTTGTTTTTTTACTGCCATAAAATTTAAAATTTCATCAATGTAAGCATAGAAAATTATCATTTTATAACGTAAATGAAAAATCCAAATTTGTATCTCCTTAATCAAAATTATCTTAAGCGTTTTTAGGGGGAGAGAGTAGAGGAGTAAAAGTAAAACTGATGTGTATGTAGGTACATTATATATTTGTTGTTTTTTAATCATTTTATTGGGTCTTACAGCTCATAACATTCCATACATCAAGTGTATCAAGCATATTAGGTACATTGTACTTTGAGACATGAGGTCATATGGCATACTGCAGAAATTAAACTCTCAAACACACTTGTAAAGAAAGTGACTAAAAAATCCGGAACGTAATCTGTGGTTTCAAAGACAAAATGTCTTGAGTCATTTGAACATAAGTGAAAGGAGCCCTGGTGGGTCAGTATTGATGCACTTGGCTGCTGACCAAAGAGTTGGCCTTCTGAACCCATAGGGTAATCATGGGAAAAAGACATAGTAGGCTGCTCCCCAAAATATTTGTGGCCTTGGAAATTCTATGGGCCATTTTAATACTCCCATATCCTATAGTGATAGTATGAATAGACAGCATTGTGTTTGGAGGTGGGGGGGTCTACATTTTTTAAAATCATTTTCATTTTGATTATTCTTGTTGATTGTTTCTGCTGTTTAAGAATTTTTTTGTTGCTTGCTTGTTTTTCTCACCTAGTAGTAGTAAAACCTGAGTTGAAATAATGTTAAAAGGGATCTTGTTTGGGATTTTGTGTGACTGGAAATTATCTACTAGGGTGAGTTAGGATGACTTTGTTGAGCAATGTGTGTTCTTTCCTAGCCTCCTCCTAGAAGACTCTGAAGAAGAAGAAGGTGACCTATGTAGAATTTGTCAGATGGCAGCTGCATCATCATCTAACTTGCTGATCGAGCCATGCAAATGTACCGGGAGTTTGCAGTATGTCCACCAAGAGTGTATGAAAAAGTGGTTACAGGCCAAAATTAACTCTGGTATGATTTAACTGTTTTCAGAATGTCTCCAGGAGATGAATATATGCATTTTAATTCATCATTTTGATCATTGTTATTAATGATTGAATTGAGACTTGCCCTAATTCTTTTTTTAAGTTTAAGCAAATGTCTTACTATAAATTTTAATTTATAACTATTTCTTAACATTATCTTCTTTGATATATGTACAGTACAATTTTAACCAGTGATGACTAATGAGTATGACCCTTATATCGTGCAGAATCCTTTTGAATCATCCAAGAACTGTTTACCAATTATGTGACCTTGAGAAAGATTGTTTCTAATGCTATTGACTCATCAAATTGGAAAATTGTAAAAATTCATTTGTACAGTGAGTACGAATTAGGAGCCAGCATAGATGTAGATGTGATATGTAAACTATTGAATAAGGTAGACAAGGTGCTTGCCCCTGGGTCGCTATTAGTTGCTAAGGGAATGCCTTGCTAAGATGATGACGTTTAAACTGAAAGTAGGATGATACATAACTATCCATTTCAGCAGTGGCAGAGACCATTCCAGCAGAGGGAACAACTAGTGCTATGATTTTAAGCTGGGGTAATTTTAGTGTGTTTGAAGCACTGAAGAATGTGTGGTGTGAGTGAAGGGAGCTATGGTATAGTTGAGATTAGAGTATCTGGCTGAGGCCAACTCATACTAGACTTTAAAGCTAAGGTACCAAAAGAAATGCTTAAGATTTGTATCTAAGTGTGATAGGAGGTCACTGAGGCTGAAGAAGTGGTATGATTTGATTTCTATTTTGGCTGCTCTGTGGAGAATAGATTTTAGGAGATCAAGAATGGAAACAGGAAGACCAATCATGAGTCTATTAAATGAGCTTTAGTAAGAAATGGTGATGGGATAGGACGTGGTGGTGGGCAAAGAAGTAGAGATAAATGTATGTATCCCCCCCCCCATTTTATTGTGAATTAGGTGAGGATTTACAGATCAAATAATCATTTTTCCATCCAACAACTTGTGAATACTTCCCGTTGTTTGCTCTGTACTCTCTCTCAATTTTCCTAGCCATCTCCCTCTTACTGGATATATTCCATTTCACCCAAATTAACACATTTCTATCTTTAGCCTATAAGACAACTCCCCCCCCATTCTATCAAAGAGTTGGTTTCTTTGGGTATGAAAACTTTTTCGCCCCCCCCCCCCAAGTAACAGTGAGGCTGTTGTTTTGTGATTGACTAATTTCACTCAGTATAATATCCTCCAGTTTTCATCCATGTCATGAGATATTTCACAGATTCAGATTCATTGTCATTCTTTAGTGTTTTATAGTATTTCATTGTGCGTATGTACCAAAGTTATGGGCATTTACATTATTTACATTTTCTTGCTAATTCAGATAATTAAAGGTATCTGAAAGGGCATGTGGCGATCTTAGGAATTAAAGTCAGGTATGGAGTAAGAACCTCAGGGAGTGGGGAGTAAAAAGCTGGTGGGATCAATGTCTCATGAGTTTCATTAGCATTGAAAAGAGTTATTGTAGTAAGTAAGCTGTAACACAAAATTGTAGGTGTACAGAAAGAGAGGGTCCTTAAAGTGTACATTTATAAGTAGGTACTTCAATGAATCTTGATGTAAAGGTCAAGAATGTGATCACCGAGTCCATTACTGAGGTGGTGAGAAGAGTAATATTAGATATATAAAGCTGTGGAGGAAGGATGGGTGTTGAAATAGCCAAAAAGTTAAGATTGTAAAGAAGACCAAAAGTTAAGTGCTGAAACTGTAAGTGAATGCATGGGGACCGTAAAGATTTGGAAACAGCAGTGAATGGAAGGAGGAATATACCCTTCACCTTTTGATACTGAGGTACATAGAACTTTGGGCATAAAATGGCTGTAAGAAAAGTAGCATAGTGGATGAAGGGAGACATTGGACAGGGCAGGATATGACAAAATACCCATTTATAAACTATCAAGGGCTCAGGCGGGAGGGGGGAGTGGGGAGGGAGGGGAAAAATGAGGACCTAATGTCGGGGGTTTAAATGGAGAGAAAATGTTTTGAGAAACGATGTACAAATGCGCTTTACACAATTGATGTGTGTATGGATTGGGATAACAGTTGTATGAGCCCCTAATAAAATGTTAAAAAAAAAAAGAAAAGAAAAGTAGCATCAGTGGTACAGGTATGAAGTTGAAGGATCATTAAAAAAGTTGATTATTTTAGGAATTCATTATTAGACCACCAGTAGCAGGGGGCATAGTAGAAATGACTGTAATCCTACAAGAAGGGTGGAAAGTGTAGTCAGATTAATAACGGTATGAAGACTGAAGGTCTGATAATGATAATTTGGTTACATAGACTAATAGATTACAAAATATGATAGGATTAATCTTAATTGCTTAAGGAATATGAGTGTTAAATATTTTAAGCTGGCGAATATGGGGCTACTGGAAAACTATTCTGCAGCTCTCTGGGGATGTTAGTCAAGAGATAAGCAAAGGGCTCTTCTGAAGGGCAGGGGAGATCTGTTTTAAGCTTTTCTAAGCTCAAAGTTTTGGGACAGACCATCTCCCCCATTGCAGCTTCTCTTGTCTGAATGGTGAAACAGCAGTTTGAAAAGTTTTATTCAGATACTGCCTGTGATTTTATTAAGATCAGATAAATGAGAGAGGTACTTGGTGTGGTTCTCGACACTTAGGGGTCTAGAAATGTTGAGTGTTAGCAAAAAGGAAGACCGAGGTGGACTCAGACCTTCTGGATTGCTAGTGTTGGTTAAGCAGCAAAACAGAAACTTTGTATCATAAGCCATCACCTAGATTTCTAGTATTGCCTCAAATTAATTACATTCGTTCTCAACCCTGATTGCTGATCCAGAATCATCCACTGGAGTTTATAAAAATATAAACACTCCAGATCCAGCCCTCAAGATTTATAAGTAGATCTGGGGTTGTACCTCAGTTTCATTATGAGTAAAATTGAGTTATACTTAACTGGGTTGTTGAGAAGGACGAATGATAATGTTAGTAAATAAGTTACAGCACCAGAAATGTAGTAAGTACTGAATTAAATGGCAGTTATCTTTATAAGCTTGTAATGAGCACCTTGTTAGTAACTTTTTAAGTGTACAGATCTCAACAAAAAAAGTTCCCTGATGTTTCAGAAATCTTTCTCATACTTCTAATCTAAATATCCCTTTGGTTGAAGATTCATACTAGCAGATAGTCATTTAAACGTTTATTAAGCAACTATGAGCTGCTAAACTTTACAGGGTGCGCAACAGTGAATAAGACTATTACCAGTTTGGGAAAATGTACCAGCTTTTTGAGTGAGGTGGGGTGTAGTAGGAGAGGCTTTGAATTAAGCAGCGTAGCAATAAATGGATTGGTCCCTTGTGCATATGAATGACTTCTGGTAAGTCTCTTATTCTGTAAAGTAGAAAAACGAAGCCCAGGAATATCAAAGGTTAGTACATCTTTTACTTTTCCTGCCTCTGCATCAGAAAATTGCTTTAATAATTATCTCTTGAGAGAAATAATGCCTTTTGAATAGTTCTCACATTCTTTTCTCAGTATATAGGATAATAACATAATGGACTTCTTGTGAACCCAGGGAATATTCCAACTTATTTTATTTCAACATGCTCATGCCAACTAATTTCACTTTTCTTTCAGCTCTTTTCTGGAAACTACGCATAAGTTATTATTGCTGTCTTGAAATTATGTCAAGTTAACTATTTTTAAATTTTAAAATTAAATAACCTTAAGTCTGTGAGCTCCTTCAAGAGCTTGCTACTACTTTTTTTCCGACCTCTGATACTGCCTGGCACATAACAAGCCTCAACAAATGTTAGGTGAATTAAATTCAAATCTCTATCTTGTTACTCCAAAACTTATTCTAAATTTGAGAACATTTAAAAATATAAAGTCCTATAAAAACAAGCACAGGCAAAAAACAAATGCCGACAAGACTTGATGTTATGTTCAACTCTTGGTGATCCATGTGTTAGAATAGCGCTGCTCCATAGAGTTTTCTTAGTGGTGATCTTCAGGCCTTCTGAACAGGTTCAAACCATCAACCTTTTGGTTAGTAGCCAGTTGCAAACTATATGCCATCCATGTTTGTTACTCCCTACTAAACTGGTTCCCGAATCTAAGGAATAACCAAATGTTGAGTGGACATGGAACAGAAGGAGCTGCTTTGGTCTAGAGAAATATAAATCCCCTTTTTAGCATCCTAGCCAGTAAACAAGCACCCTCTTTGGGCTCCAAAAGATCTTAGATTTATAGATCCTGTGACATCAGAGGATACTGATCTGAGTGTTTGCAACTAGCTGCTTGAGAAGCTACATTATTGTGTTAGTGGCATCATGCCCCAGGCTATTTTAGGAAGAAGTAGGATGGACAGATGACATTCCATTGTCTCTTTTGTCAGCTTCCCTTGATAAAAAATACATGGGTCGATCCTTAAATACCAAAGAGTAGGACCAGACAGGCATGCTGTTTTGCTCATATTGATCTTTTATTTATTTATCTATTTATGTACTTAACAACTAATCAGTAAGATTTTCATAATCTAAGCCTAAAATTATGAGGGGAAAAATAGTTTGTGGGAAACACAGCAAAACTAAAATTCTCTTGGAATTCAATTTCACCAGGTTCTTCATTAGAGGCTGTAACCACCTGTGAACTTTGTAAAGAGAAGTTGCAGCTTAACTTGGAGGATTTTGATATTCACGAACTCCATAGAGCTCATGCAAATGAACAAGTTAGTATATTTTGCCTAATTTGGTAAGTGTCTATTCTATGCTTAAAGGACAACCCTTGAAGAAAAGATTAAGTCATGGTCAGATACCCTACACTAAAAATAATGTTTTTAACATAATTCTTTGTTACTATGTAAGGTCTTCCAACTTCTTGTTTTGAAATGTTCTTAAAATGATATAAATGAAAGGCAAATAAGTCACCAGTTTTAAATTTATTAAAGTAAAATTTATCCTAAGTTTTTCTACATTTAAGACAAATTCAGAAGTTTTCCACAGTAAACATGCCAGTGTTTTTCCCCATTGCTGCTTCAGTGTTGACAAAACAGTGAACATTAAGCCCTGGATCTCCTTTGTATTTCTGGATTTTTTCTGTCCCCATGATTATGGGGATTTATTAGGGAAGCTAAGAGGTCCAAAGTCAGGAGCAGAAGTCGTAAAGGATGGATACCTTTTGTCCACAGCAGCACTCTTCTCAACTCTGCTGGCAGGCTTGTCTCCCTCGGTGCCCTCCTCCCTCTTAGGCTGTTACAGAGCTCCCTTATCAATGGTAAATACCCAAAGGGCATCCCACTCGAGAAGCCACCTCCTTGCCTGAAGGTACTCCGATTTACTTGCTCTGTCTCATGGTCTTGGTGCTGTGGCCACTCTTGCCTCTGTTGCTGTTGCCTTTTCACAGGAACTTCACATTTACTCCTTAAGAAAACTTTTTCCTTGATGGTCCTGGAATTCTCCATTTCTGAACTTTTTTATGTAAGAATAATTTTTATGTATTTTGCTAGTGTCTATCTGGCCTATGGACTCCCCACCATCATGTTTTTCTTCACCTTCCACATTCTTTCCTTCATACGTCATAAAATGTATTGAACAAGTATACATTATGAAATCTCTGTTGTTCTAAGCTCTTACTTTTCCTGTTCTTCAGTATTTGTATCACTATAGCTAGCCTCTAGTGAATAATGTCCAGGTTTCTCTATAGTCATTTAATAACTTCTCAAATATTTCCCTTACATTTCTCAGATAATTTTGGTATATGTTGATTACTCCGCTTCCTCCACAAAATAAGTACTTTTGTTCCTGGGTCTTGTTTCTAAAGCTTTAAATTTTTTAAACAAATTAAGGCTCTTAAATCATAGTTAATTAAAAACTCAAACTTCCGGGGTGGGAAATCATTGCTAAGGGAGATTACAGAGGTGATTCTAGAGTCAGCCTGTGCAAATGTGTTCAGCATATTTGTTATCAAAAGATATGCGGTAAAGTTGTTTTCCACAAGTGTGGAAAGTTGTTTTTAATAAAGGAGGCTTAAGGACTCTTTTCTTTTTTTAGGTGAAATTTTATAACAAAGATAGTAATTTTAAAAAAATTTTTATTTAATCATTTTATTAGGGGCTCATACAACTCTTATCACAATCCATACATACATAAATACATCATTTGTGTAAAGCACATTTGTACATTCATTGCCTTCATCATTCTCAAGACATTTCCACTTAAGCCCCGCGGCATTAGGTCCTCATTTTTCCCCTCCCTCTCCGCTCCCCCCTCCCTCATGAGCCCTTGATAATTTATAAATTGTTATTTTGACATAGAAAGATAGTAATTTTAAAGTGAACAATTCTCCAGCAGTTACTACAGTCATAGTATTGAACAACCACCATCCCTGTCTATCCCCAAACATTTTCATACCTCAAAAGAAAATCCTTCTTACCCCTACCTCCCCCCAACCATTGAAACTACTAGCTTGTATTCTCTCTTTGTTAATAAATACACTATTCTGGATATTTCATGTAAATGGAATAACGTGACTTTTGTAGACTCATATTACTTTTAAAATTAGGGTATGTTAATGGATTCCCCATAGATATCTATTAAAAGTGGTGGTCCCGCCATAGAAAATGCAGATATGCAGTTCTTTGAAGCGGTTCCTTCGATTCAGGTTAAGAATCACCAATGGAAAATTAGACAGGTGATAAAGTGTAGCTGCTACTTTAATGTTAGACAAGTGATACAGTGTAGATGCTACTTTAATGTCAATTATTACTATTTTCTCTGAAAAGCTAGATGTCCATGAAGAAAATTTGTTTTCATGAAGGAATTACCTTAAATCTCCAAGGAGATTTTGCAGACAACAATGGAACATTGATATGTTAAGCTGTAGGAAAGAGTAGAGAAAAATGAATGAGAAAGTGAGGGGGTAGGATTTCAAAAGCATTATTTTCTGTTTGTTTCTTCCGAATCTAGATGCTCAATTTTGCCTCTTAAACTTAGGCAGTTCTTTTCAATTCAACTAAGAATGTTGTTTAATGTTCGTGAATTATTTTGATGGCCCATAATCTTAAATAATTTAGAGGTGTTAGGTAATACAATGTGGAGTTTCTGTGTAAGAACGATGATGATGTTTGATTAAACTTCCTGATTTAAACTTGTTTAGTTTATGTGAATCGTGGATTCTGACAGCAGCGTTTTCAGTCATTTGACTGATCCAATTTCTCTGGTATCCAGTGGCTTAATCTTTCAAGGGGATTTTTTTCCCAACCATGTTCTGGATTTTTGATTTTTCTTCTTTTTTTTTTTGATTTTTCTTCTTAGTTAAAAGCAAGCAAAATAATCACTTCAATGAAGCATTTCAAGAAACCTCTAAAATACTTCCCGTTTTTTGGTACTCATTAAAATTTGATAAGCAGGTCCATGCTGAAGCTGGTACTTTCTACCCTGCCCACTGTTGTGGCATAGTGGTTAGCAGTCCAAAACCACCTGCCACTTCAGAGAAAGGATACTTTTAAAGTTAGGGTACGTAATGGATACCCCATAGAAATCTACTCCCATAAAGGGTTACAGTCTTGGAAACCCTAAGGGCAGTTGTACCCTGGCTCATAGGGTCTTTATGAGTTTGAGTCAACTCTAGAACCCTCGTTAACACCCTGTGGGTCAGAGTAGAACCAAGACTGTAAATGTTTACTGAAGCAGACTGCCACAGCTTACTCTCATGGAGCAGCTGGGATCATTGTAAACCATTAACCATTTCCTTTAGCCACAGTGTGCTTTAACCACTGCACCACCTCAACCCAAATTCAACACCTTAGAGACCCAGTACAGGATTTTGTGACTTTGTAAATATGGGAACAGATAGCCTCATTTTTCTCTCAGGGGAGTTGGTTTTTAACTGCCTACTTTGTAGTTTTCATTCCAGCATTTACCCCACAACGCAATTAAGGCTCCTAAATTGTTACTAAGATGTAACAGTTTGTCTTCAGATGACTTAATGGGGGGTAAAAAGTACCATTTACAGAAGGAGTATAAAACCAGCAGATTCATGATTAAGGAGCCTGGGTGGCACAGTAAGGCCAATAGCGAGGTCTAGTTAAAACACACCAACTGCTTTGTGGGAGAAAGTTGCAGCTGTCTGCTCCCATAAAGATAGGCATTCTCTGAAACCCAATGCAGTAGTTCTACTCTGTCCTGTGTATGGTCCCTATGAATCAGACTCCACTCTGGCAGAGAATTTGGACATTTTAGTAATGATTTGTAATCATTGCTTACAAACTACACAATGGTTTCAGACTAAAAAATTCTGTGTTTTCATAAACTGTAAATTTCTGTGTGTAATGTGAGGAAGTATTCTGTTAACTTTATATATTTAAGTTAGCTGTGTTACATATGAAACACTTGTGCTATCAGAATAGGTTTTCATTATAGAGTAGTGTACTGATAGAGCTATGGAAGTGTTTTTAAGTAATTATAGCCATTTGTACAAATTTATAGTCTTCATAAAAAACTATTCTACCACAATATGATTTTGAAGTCCCATGATTATATAAAGGAAGAGTATGTAAAAATAAAGAGAATATTCCCATCCATTTAGGTTCATTAGTAAAATGTCTTGATAATTTTATATTACCTCTCTTTATTCCTTGTTTCCATAGACAACATATTATCCACTGAATCTTTTACTAGGGATTTTAGATATGATTTCCTTTAGTTCATCAGTGTACTGCAGATATTAATCTCAGCTGCACTAATTTTCCCCCCCATGTTTTTCCTTTTGTTTAAAGGCTGAATATGAGTTTATCAGCTCTGGTCTCTACCTAGTTGTCTTATTGCACTTATGCGAGCAAAGCTTTTCTGATATGATGGGAAATACGAATGAACCAAGCACGCGTGTTCGAGTAAGTAATGTTGAAGTGGGGAGAAGGGAGGGTATGATAGAACAAATGTTTGCCCTGAAAATAGAGTACCTTGGATATTCACATTCTAGTTCCTTTGGGGAAGAAGTCTCTTAAATTTTTTTTTTAACTGAAGATCTTAATAGACTTAATAGAAATTGCTGAAAAATATCTTCCTTTAAAAACAAGTAACCTAATGATGTCCTAAAACTATTTTAGAGACTGATAAAGTTTTCGTGCTCTTAAAGGTATTTAGAATATTTCAGTGAGAAACAGACAAAATGGAAACAAGGAAAAATGTTTTTTATTAAAATAAAAACTGGAATTATGCCTTAGAAATCTGAAATTGAATTCCCAACTGTCCTGTAAAAGATTCCACTTTTTGCATGTCCATATTATGAACTATTTAATGTGTACCGTGTACATAGTTAGTCTTAATACATTTATTTTGGTTAGCTGGTGGGTATAAGTAAAGGATCCTGTTTGCTCTACTGAAGTAGAGAAAACCTGCTCTGCTGCCTTGACCATGGTGTGCAGCAGGCATTAGTCTGTGTGTCCTTATTATAGCAATCTGAACCCTTCACAGCTTGAAGAAGTACTTAAAACATCCTTCAGATTACATGAAACTTCACATTGCTGTGTAAATTTAGTAGCATATAGTTAAGATAGGTTTTTATTTTGAAAACTGCCACATAACTGCATGTTATTATGAGGTGTTCAGAAAAAATATGGACATTTATTCGTGTCAGCCAGTTGATAGATTATTATTAGTAAGCAGAGAGAGAACAAACATATCAAGAACATGCCAAATTGAGAAAGATTCTTGACTTTAGAATCATGAGCCCCTAAATTTAGTGTATGCCATAAAATAATTTTAAAATTGCTCAGAATTAACAAAACTTGAAAAGTCTGTTGAATATATGCCTTTGTGAAATGCATAAACAAGTTTATATTAAAGTGGAAGTCATTTTTATGATTTTTTTCTTACATAAAGATTTAAGTGTAAAGCTTCAAGAGCTATCAGTTAAGCAGGAAAGTATTTCTTGGGTTTCTATTAAAAAAAAACTTGACCATTAAAATTGAATTGAGAGAGGTCCAATTTTTGGAAGTGATATATAGGCAGTCCCTGGGTTATGAACAAGATCCGTTCGTAAGTGTAGCTTTTTCGAAATGGACATTCTTGTTTAGCCTTACTTGAGTACAAGAAAAGACGCCAAGCATTTTAATTTATCAAAATTCGTTGTAAATTGGATGCTCGTAACCCAAGGATTTAATTTAGTATACTTAGAAAAACAACAATACTATTGGATAAAATTATTTTAGTGTATCTGCTCCTGCTTAGTGTCAAGCAATTTATTTTTATATGTTTAATAATGATTATATAAAACAGTACAAATAATCCCCTTAAGCTTGTAATTACTGGTGTGGAAGGAGAAAGGCCCCTAATTAAAGGTTTAAAACGGTATTTGACTTTATAAGTAGAAATGAAATCTCCTATACTGCTTCTCTCTTTGGATCCATTTACAACATTTAAACTACTGTATTTCTTTCTGCATTGTTTCTAGTTTATTAACCTTGCAAGAACTCTTCAGGCACATATGGAAGATCTCGAAAGTAGGTGGAATTTCCCCTCCCCAGGCTCATTGAATTTACTTTTGTAAATTAAACCCACAAAGTTAAAACAAAGTGTTAAGTATTTCAACCAAGTTAAGGAGTTATTTATAAACTTGATAATATCAAAATGCACTACTAATCAAATTGTGGTGGGAGAAGAGAAGAAATTGTACTCAGCTTCTTCAGATAATAACAGATTTTCCCCAGGCTTAAGTGTGGTTTTGGAAAAAGGGATTGTTGTAAGGTCATAACAGTCATAGAATTTTAGGTCGTTTTTTGTTGTTGTTGTTCTTTGTCCTTGGACCTCTCGTGAGGCATCGTCTCCAGTATCAGGACTTCTGCCTGGGCTCTAACTGCATTCTTTAATTACTTTCTCTAATTTCTTGTCCTCAAAACACTTGATGTATAATGCGTCTCACATTTTTCGTCACCAGGAAAGCTCACAATCATTTGAAGTAAGATTTGCGAAAGATTTAATCCTCCTAAGATAATTCTTTGAATATTTAAGACAGGGGTTTTTGTCAATAAAACTGGACTTGCTTTCATTTTACAAATATTTTGAGGCGTAACTAGACAACATATTTTCACAATTTTAATGCGTAAATGTGAACATGTATGTGAAAGAGCAAGTGAAGCTTGATGTGGTATCACCCTTTTTCTTAGTGCAGATCTCTTATTTGGGGGGTTATTATAAAGGCATGTCTTTTAAAAAATTTAATTTATACTTTTCCCAGATAGGATAATTTCATTCTATGTAAATTTTCCACATGTTCTTTAAGTGCTAACATTGCCATCTAAAACTTATTTTCTTAGCAATAGCTGTCTACTCCCAAGGTGGAAAAGAGAGGACCAGATAGAGGCTAAGTACACACAAACTAAGCTGAGAGCCAAAGGTGTGGTGCTCTAAGTTCACTCATAAGTACCAGAGTTAATATATTCTAAACATAACTTCCAACTGAGGTTTCTTTTCCTAGGGTGTTAATCAAAAAGTATGAGATGTTCCCAGAAAAGCGGTTTTATTACTTAGTTCAGGTATAGTATAAAACAACTATAGGGTTTGATGTAATTGATCAGTTAGGTATACACATTTGATATCATTATTAAAAAATGAATTTAAGAATTTTGTAAGATAAGTTAGTAGATTTTGAAATATGGAAATTAAGTTTCATCTGTAAGGGTTGCATAATTCCCTAGTGTTTTGAGATCCCATTAGCTGGGTATTCTTAATTGTCTAATATTAAAAGGAGAAAAATATAAACTTTTCTGATAGGGAAGATGCTGGTTAGTTTGTATTTTGCGGTGTTTCATTTTCTTGACGTGCAAAGCAGTCTATAGGATATATAATTTCATACTCACTATATCCTTCCTAAAGACATTCTACGATACTTTACAGTAAATCTTGAGCCACTAATGGCTCGTGTGTAGTTTGGGTCAGAAATGTTGCATAAGTGTCAAGTTTCTGACTGTGAAGAAATAGATAGGAAATACATCTCAGCAAAAAGTTTTTATTACTCCAATTATTTTATCTTAGGCTGTGTCTATATGAAGCTATTTTGGCTTACTAAATGGAGCCTTTATTTGGGCATTATATAGACATAGCTTTGGTGTTAAGTTGCAAGAGCACCCATAACCTGTTCTTCTATGTACATTTTTTGTTTTTTTCCCCATTTTCATCGGATGCATCAAACATGCAGTGGTAATAAGCCAGATTCTACTCAGGTGTGTGAGAGCACTTGCCTTAAAATTCACTCCTCCAAGCATATGTATCATTAGTTTGTATGAACACAACCTGCTTTTGAAAACTTTAGAAAACACCTTTGAGCCACATTTTAAACATTTTCATTTTTACAAGAACTATATGACATAACAAAAAGATGTGGGGTGGGGGTGTTGAAGATGGGCATCACCCACAATCAATCTATGCTAACTCTGCCATGATAACCTATCATTTTGACCAAACAATACTACTAAATTGGGATTTTAATTTTAAAGCCATTACTATTCTGACTTCATATTTAACTCCAATTCTCAGCACCATTGAATTCATTCTTGATCATCCTGTTTTCTTCCCACAGCTTCAGAGGATGATTCTGAAGAAGATGGAGACCATAACCGAGCATTTGATATTGCCTAACTTCACCTAAGACAAATGGATGATCTGTGAACAAGTGTTTATTAAAATTGGCAATTAAGTATTGATTTATTTTGTGGGGAATGCCTACTAAATACCTTTACTATATCTATACATTTAGTGAATATATATATGCACATGTATGCATGTATATATATATTCACTTCCAGTGTTGCTTAATTGAAACCTTATTGCTGGACCTTTTAACATGGCAAGTGAATCTGATGTTTTATAAACTGGTAATCAAAAGTATTTTTCTTTCAGGTGAGTGGGAAAGTATTAACTCTTGTTCTAGCTCTCTAAGCAGTGCCCACTTCCAACCTTCTTTCTGTGTGTGTCCTGATTACTGTAGTCATATTTATGAAAAAATGTTCACGATTTATTCTTGTTAGTGATAAAAGTGGGAAAAAATTATTTTCAAAATAAGCTGCCACATGGCAGCTATTATTATTTCTTATTATTTTGCCTTAAGTTGAAGTTAAATTTTGGTAATGATTTGCTTCCAGTGTTTGAATAAAAAAGGAATGAATGAGGGGAAAGTTCGGAAGAAAATTATATTAGGTTCCCAAATTTGATAGGAATTCTAAATTCACCTACAATAAACTTAATTTTTCACAAAGGTATATAAACAGAAAATATATAAATGATGGATGATTGTTTTTGTATTGATTTGCAAAATGTAGATTATATTTGATAGGTCATAGTATGTAGATATTCCTTTTAGGAATATCACAGCTATAAGTTATATCAGAATTGCCAGGAAAATGCTATTTGGTAAAAAATTATTGCAATCTCAATTTAATGGAATATTTTAAAATCCCACATTCAAAGTTTAAAACACTGGTTTTTGATGTGTTTTTTAGTGTTGTCACTTCTTTATAGATAAATATATAAATAAACTGTTTGAATCTTGGCTGTTAACTGTTTTTTTTTGTTTTTGTTAGTTTGAGCATTTCTTTTCTGGCTTAATATTTTTACTATTGGGATTTGGGTGAACATTACACGTTATCGCCATGAGTTCTGTTTACTTCTATTACTATTTTCCTCAGTCAGCACCCTTAAAATGCACATCATACGTCTATCTACTTGGTCTGTGTCATAACAGTCTGCTTTTTCAGAAATTAAATGGAAACTCTGTACTTTCTCAAATATAAATAAGCAGTTTATCATTGCAAGTCATTATGTTAGGAATATGTGAAACAGTTCGCAAAGTGCCTACCTACATAGTTGGTTTATATTAGAGTTTGAAAATGTTACTTTTAGAATTGGTGCTGCCAAAATATTTATATTTCAATTGAAATAGGCAGGAATTGTATTAAAATTTCAAATTCTCACTTTAAAAAAATGCGTTCAAAATGTACTTGCTCAATTCTTGCTATTGCCTTTGCATTGCCTTTTACTTGAAAGTACAAAATTTAAATATGTTGACTCCAGTGTCTATTTTGTGGCCCATTGTAGATGCTGTGAGTTGTAAAATATTTGTGCTTTTATTTATTATTATTATTAAAATATTTTATTGGGGGCTCCTACAGCTCGTATAACAATCCATACATCAATTGTATGAAGCATATGTTGCCATCATTATTTTATCAATATTTACTTTCTTTTGAGCTATTGATGTCAGCTCCTCTTTGTTTCCCTCCCTAACATTCGTACTTTTACTAGAATTCAGTGGGAAATTTTAAATGTCTTCTGCTAGCTCACAAAACTTTTAAAATATTTTAATATACTGGTTGAAAATTTTCCATTCTTACACATAAGAGGTTTATATATGATTTATTATATTAAATGCTAGTGAAACACAGATCATAGCTTGAGCTTTAGTGTAACTTGTTAATATCACTTAATTTCTCAATATTAAAATATGATACAGTATAAATATGACACTAGAGGGATAAGAGAAAAATTTTCATTCACTATCCATTTGAAACATGAAACTAGAGGCCACACATTGGTCAGATCAAAGAATTCAAATATCTGATAAAACCTGGAGGTGATGCTTTCCTCTCCCCATAATCACATAAACAGAAGAATTGCATTATCATTAGGAGTCCTTATAGCCCAGTGGATTAAGTGTTGGGCTGCAAACCATAACGTTTGACCATAAGGTTATTCAAACCCAGTAGCTGCTCCATGGGAGAAATATAAGCACAAAGATGTATAGTGTTAGAATCTGTAAGGAGCAGTCTACCTTTACAGGGTTGCTAACAGAATTGACCTGATGGCACTGATGTTGGGTTTGAGTGTTCAGGATGTTCAAGAAAGTAATTGTACATTGGAAATGCAAACAAGCCTGCTTGGGTAAGTGCAGACTTGAATGGTTATGTACCAGTTGACCACTAAATAGATGAAAGGGCTTGTTACAGATGCTCTCATATACCAGCAATATTAAATTATGGCCTTTTATTACCAGGGGCCCTGAGACCTATGAAAATGAAATAAACTAGCAAAATTGCAATCACAGTGTTAAGCATCTGTCTATAGCACTATTACAGTTTCAGTACTGTGGGAGTTTCATAGGGGAGAGGGGTTTCCAAAACAACTCTTCAATAAAACTTTCTGCCATGACAGAAATGTTCTACAATCTGCCATTCAATAGGGTGGCCACTAAACAGACATGGCTTCTGAACATTTGAAATGCCGTTAAAAGTAAGTGGAAGGACTGAGTTTTTAATTACTTGTAATCAGCCCTGTGCGGCTCACCGGGCTTCTGCATTCAGACTAGTGCTAGAGAATTGAGAGGATCAGAGGAGGTGGGGACAACGCAAGATTGGCTTTAATTTTTACAGCTACTGGTAGAATTTGGATAGAAATGGGAAGCCAGCACTGAGTGTTCATTATTAATACACTAATTAGTATCACTAATAGCTACCAGTGATAAAATAGAAACTTCACTGTACAAAACCTTGGAAATACAAAACATAATTTGGTGTTCTTTGGGCTTATGTACTGCTGTATGGAGTATAACATTTACTGTTTCAGCACCACATAGACTCTTTGGGTAGGGTCTGCCATCACGTACTCCTGTTTCATTAACAATAGTGCTGTTGTGCTAAGTGCCTGATTTTGAGTTGGTGACAAATGAAAATAAATGGGACAAACTTGATTTTGTTGCTACTGCATTTGAACACAGCATTGAAACTACATATGTTGTTTGGAACCTTCAATCTCCTGGGGTACTCGTGGCCTGTGTCCTTTGCACATTGATGTGTGCATGCTGTTTACATGGGTACATTTTTTACAGAAATGTACACTGTGTCTCCATAAGACATTCATTAATGAGATAATTTATGGCCGAAGGAGAGATTAATTACTTCTCTTGAACTTTTAAGCTTCTTAGGAAGTACTATTTTATGTCCAGTGCCTATATTAGCTTTTCTAGCATTGCTTTTGGGCTGCAAAAGGTGATTTTAAAAAATCATTCTTGTTTACAGCTTGTTTATTGACTTTTTCTTAACCCCTCCAAATTATTTTTGTCACCTTTGTCTTAACATGTATAATTGCTGAAATTTTGCACATCTTTATTAGTCTGTTTTTATGTCATTGGAAATTAAAAATGATTGGAAAGCATAAGACGTGTTAGATAAGGAAACTTAACTAATGACGAGAAATTTTCTTAGTGGAAACCAGGGTTTTCTAAGTGTTAGTGCTTGCTGCCAGCGTTTTATATGCCTACCTGGACACAGATTTTTGTTTAAAATGGAAATCTATACAACGTTACAGAAACAATTTTTTTAAAACCCTTTTATTGCGGGCTCCTACAGCTAATAGTACAATCCATATATCAAAATTGTATCAAGCACATTTATCAATGTTGCCATCAATTTCAAAATATTTTCTTTCTGTTTAAGCCCTTGGTCTCGGCTTTTTCCCTCCCCTATGGACCCCTGATAAATTATAGTCATATCTTGCACCACCTGCTGTCTCCCTTCGTCTATGCTAGTCATCACCCTGGGGATGGGGGGGGGGTGTTATATGTAGCTCCCCCGCCCTTGATCCAGCGACCCTGTGTGAGTTAAGGGTTATCGATTATCAGGCCAACTGCAGCTGG